CTTCCTAAGTCCCAGATTTGAAGTTTTATCCTTTTGTCCCCATGTAATCTGAGTACAGGGCTAAATTGGTATGTGGAAATTACTGACACAGCTAGCATAACTCTTTTTCATGCACACTTTTTTAAGTTTTAGAAAAAAAATATACCTTAAATTCCATGCTATTCAAATTTAGGAATAATAATAAAAGATAAGTTTTTATACTTTAAACACGCTTCCAAAGGAATTTTTTTAGATTTTATCCACAAATGCTTTTAAATTTGAACTTTTCAGAACTTGCCTTACATGTATGAATTTTCATTCAAAATTTAGTAGAGACAGAGGCTTTGTGTTAAAAATCAAGAAAATTAAGTCATAAGAAAAACTAAGATTTTTTTTTAAACTTTAGAAAAATGAAGCCAATGGATATTGCAAAGAAAACTAGATGATGTGCTTACCTTGGAAATTGAGCATTTAGGAATCTGAATTTATTTCATATTTAATCTACTCCTAGCATTTTAATAGTGATCATTATCCACTCTTTTGTGAATCGTTCTCCTTTTAATAGTAATAGAGCATTATCTTTGTGTTTCAAGGAATACGTTTCAGCTTAACAATACAATAGATAAATTTTAAGTAATTTGTCAAAAAAATGACACCAGTAAAATTTTCTAACAATACCTTTCAAAATACCTTTAACTTCCAACAATTTTCTCAGAAAAATGGTACTACTATGTAATTCCACAGTAGAAAGATATTGTATTTCCTGTTTACATTTTTCCTTGTTCTTTCGTGAATTATAGTAATGAGTCAAAGCCTAGTTGGAAACAAGATCTATAAAATTCAATATAAAGGCATCACAATTCAGTTGATATATAATAGCAATCATAGTAACTTTCCTAGCCTTTATTGCAATTTTGCACAGAACAACTAAACATTTATGAAAAATATAAATCCAGGAAATCTGTAGTAGAATGGATTCTTTAATGTATTTCCAGGGTGTAGTGGTGATATACTTTACTTGTGGATAGAGTTAAATCGTATGCATTTGTGTTAAAAGAAAAAAAAATGCTTACAATTTTTTTCAAAGTGAAATGAGAAGTCTTCAAGAGAATATACAGGAAAATCACAGGACTTCATTTATATGTATTTTAAAGAATCAATCTGGCTACTTTGTAAACAATCGAAGTATATAATATAGAAGTAACAAAACAAATCAAAAGTTATTTTAATAATACATATTATAGATATAGATAGATAGATAGATAGATAGATAGATAGATAGATAGACAGATAATACCTTGGATTGGGGAAGTAACAGTATAGAAACAAGATTTCCTAGGAAGACAGTAAGAGAAGAAGTAAAAGGAATCATTAAGATGTCCAATATTAAAGACTGAATGGAGAAGATCCAGCAAAACTGGCAAAAAGACAAAGGCTACAAGAGCAGGACAGAACCAGGAGAAGGTGGCTCCATGGAGGTAAAAGGAAGGAAGGGTACAAGAGCACTGCATGGGAAATGCTGCTGAGATTTTGAATAAAATGAAAACAGAGAACCGGCTCTTGAGTTTATCAGTCAGAAAGGTAGCAGTGACACAGACAAGCGTGCTGGACTAGCAGCTTATTTGGAGAGCTCTTGGGGAAAACTGGGAGGAGAGAATGGAGTAAGAAAATGTGGACAGAGCCTGTAAGGTGTGTTGCTGTCACCATGAACAGAGACATGTAATAGTAAATGGAGTGATACAATAGAGCACAAATTGATATTGCAGTAAAAGAGACATTAATTGTAGGAAAATGGTCCAGGGATACTTACATCATGCACAAAGTAAGATTTGATAGATCACAATACAAATCCAAAGAAATTGATAAATTTTTATATTAGAAAACTTTCGTTTCCTAGGACATGTCTCAAACTCCTCCTCCAGAATGTGGGAAGAGGAGAGGGGAGACTGGGAACAGAGAGTAGCCCACACTTGTCTTAGAGATAGGAAATATACAAATTTTATGTAATTGTTATAGAGAAGCTTTGGAATGATTATGTTGGCTCTGTATGAAATTAAAAATTGAAGACTCTAAGCCAACTGTAAGGAAATCCAAAAACGTTCTGATTTTTCCAAAAGATTCCTACTTTACAGTATTTTGGAAAATCAAATTCCTTCATGTTTCAAAAACTATCTTTAGTGTTTGTGTTTTGCTCATGCTGGAAGGACACTATGAAAAGAAGGAAGAGACCGGGGGGAGCATAAATGATTTATGTTGGAGAAAGAGGATGCCAAGGGACAAAAGAGGGTAGAGAAACACTGCATACCTACTGCCACCCCGCATTTTGCTGAAGATCAGCTCAGAGAATGTGGTTGAAGCTGTACTATATTTAAAAGTGAAATAAGAAGACATGTTTGTTAACACTGAGTTGAAGTAGAATTGATATTACCCCCCCAGGCTACTCATGGAACTTATGGTATTGATTCCAAGTACAGCCAGCAGCCGATTTCGGCAGTCCTTATGAAAGTACAGAGGAGGAGAAATAGCTAGTGGGGAAAAGTGTGTATGACTGAGTTGCTAAAAGCAAAATCTTCTGGATTAAAAATAAATATGTAGTGTGCATGTATATGTAATATTAGCAAAAGTAAAGAATACATTTAGAAACATTTTATGAAAAACATAATTAGCAACATATTGGTATTACCAATCTAAGGCATTTAGCCATGCATAATTATTAGGTCCTTGCTATGTATCAGGCCTTGTGCTAGATGTGATGTACATATGCAACAGTACATTTGAATTTATGGAACAAAATTTGCTCTGTAAGAGTTAAAATGCAAACTGCCTATAAAGTTTTCTCATTATAGTTGAAAGAGTCCCAGGGCATTTATATATAAGAGGTGTGTCTGCTCACAAAGGGCCAAACTTTTAATAGGCTGGGTTCCAGCCCTGATTTGCAAATATTCATGAGATACAGGAAACAAGGGCAGTCTAGGTCTAAGTTTCTCCCCTGTAAAAGGAGATCTTTGGATGAGGTGACCTTGAAAACTTCTTTTAGCTCAAAAGAGAATTTATGGTTTTGTTAGCCTTACCTTAGTACTCACTGGCAGATGTGATGTGATAATCAGTCTCCCCAAAGTGGGTGGTTCTGAGTGCTATTTATGTGTGTATTTTAGTAGACGTGTGTATAGAGTCTATGAGAGGTTAAGATTTATGGGAACCAAAACCCCAGCACTATTAAAAAACAAAGAAAAAAAGGAAAAAAAAAAAAAAAAGAATACTGGGAACCACGTATATCTCAAGAATTCTGTCAGCTAGATCTTACCATTCTGTCTTAGAGTTGAAAGACACTCAGCCTCTGTTTATCACTTTTCCCATGGCTGAGGCATAACATCTGACACCCGCTACTGGAGAAGAAGTTCATTTGGCTCACAGTTCCAGGCAATTGTGTCCATGGTTGGTTTGCTCCATGCTGCAACCATCAAGGCAGAAGGCTGTGGAAGAGGAAAGCTGCTCACCTCATGGCAAACAGGAAGCAAATCAGGGCAACAGTGGCTGGAGGCAAAGGTGAAAGGGACCAAATATATTTACACCTCTATGACCCATGCAAATAAACCCGGAAGTGGCGCTCCACCAAGTCCCCGGATAGCTCCCAAGCCAATCAAGGTTTAACGGGATCAAATTTAACCATCAAATAAAGTGTGACATCTCAGAGACTACTGGACCTGCTAACTAAGCACTGATCCAGGTCTTCCAAGAGGAAGTGCAAAGTGCTCCCCACTGAACACAGTGAAGCAGGAAATGTTTTCTGTTCAGTGTCTGAAATCACACAGAAGTAATTTATAACCTAGTCAAGTGCCTCTGAAGCATTTTTTAAATTCAAAAACCTATTACATGGAAGACATGGATAAAAGTGATATTAAATTACGTGTTTGTAATCCTCCAACTAACCCAATCCCCACACTGACCTAAGAAGAAAGAATTATTGCTTTCCACTTCAGCCATAAGGACTTAGTTGTGCAATAAGAGAGTAAAAAGGATGGAAAGTGCCAAGACAGCATCAATTGTCCTATGTCAGAAACATGGCCAAAGTTTCAAAAAAGACTGAGAGTTTATGAAATACAAAGGATTTGAAATCAATAGATACTGTGATGGGAGGGGCTTAACAAGAGAAATGAACTAGTTAAGAAGGATTCAAGAATTTTTTTTTACCCAAACTGACTACAAATATGCCCCTTTTTAAATTTCTCATAAAACAAGTATAAGTTAAGCTTTTCACCTCCAAGATATCCAAAAGTACCATTTGCCCAAATATCGTCCAAAGAAAATGCTTCTGTGGAAAGCTGTTTCCCTTGCATATTTAGAGATAGAGCAATCTTTTTAATATAGCAAAGCAAGTAGAATAAGAATATGACATAGCTCTAAGCATGGGCAGGTGCCTATTCAGGGTGATACCTAGCAAGTAAGAGGACTGCCTTCTGCCAATTGTCTTTCCTTTCGCTTCCCATTACCTGAGACAGCGATAGGGAATACAGCCCCTCGCATTACAATTTGTAAAAAGATTCATCTTTTAGAGAGAGTTGCCAACTCTGCCACTGAGTGAAGTCAATCTTATAATGTTTAAGTGAATTATGATAGTGTAATGAAGAAAACCCATCTCCTTACCACACTTAATTTAGCAAGACTACTTAGGTCAACTTCACAGAAAATTACAGGTTTATATTGGGATAAGAAAAATACAACATACAATATCAACACAAGTTTACAGTTTGCATCCTAAGAGGCTACAGATTTGTGTGTTAATACATATATATGAATACCTATGTATAACATTTGAATGTTCATAAGGTATGTAGCAATGCACCAAATAGAATGGAAATCAAGAGAAAAAGAAAATATAATTATGACAATAAAATGTGTGAATACCGTGGAGAAACCAGGTCAGTATGTTATGCTAAAATGTTACCAAATGAGTTGAAGAGGTAATTTGTTTGAATATAAACAATGAGTAGAAAATAACTTCAAATTTGATGCTTTGAAAGGGCAGTAAATTCTGAAGACCCACAGCTTCCCAAAATGAGGAAAAAAAGAAGAAAAGCTTATAAAAGATGGAAAATCTTGAATACTACAGAATGTAAGTCCAATTTAATACTTTTTAAAGTATCTATAAAATAAAATACCACCAAGTCTACTTCATTCTTTATCATAGGGATGGTTCTAAAAGTAGAAAGATAAATATATACAAATACATACCATGATTTTGAAATTTGACCTATTTTGTTATTATATTTAGGCTTTGTATTGTAAAAGATATGTAGCATAAATAGTGAAATTTAAATTAAAAAAATTATTGAGTCCCATTCTCAAAATCTGTAATCAGTGCATTACAATTGTCTTGTCCCTTGCAGATATTACAATACAGTCAATTGAAAGGGACTATAAAATATAAAATTGTGAAATTAGAAGAGGCTATGAACTGAACTGCTCTTGGCACGAAAGTGTTATTTTAGGAATAAATTGTAATCTGTTCCAGAAGGCAGTCCATCAGTCCAACAGTCTATAGACTGTTATCAAGTCCACACTCTATTATAAATGGACTTTAGAGAGATAGGCCTCCATATCTTTTCTCCATGACTCCTGCATTACAGCCCTCAGATTGTAACCAAGCCTACTGGAAATTATTTCCACTCCTGTTAAGAAAGATGCTCTTCCTTCAAGCTAGAAAAGAGATAAATCTGAATAGTCAGATTCTGTGAGACACCTCAATATACTTGTTTTTCTTTTTTCTGTTAAGTAAAATTTATTTACTCTTTATATTTATACAATTATAAATACTTATATAAAGTATGTAAGTACATATAAAGTCATGTCAAATCAATAGCATGTTTATGTAGCATTTATAATCATTTTCATTTTAACATTATCGTATTTAAAATACTTTTGGACTTCTGGTTCATCAGTTTCCATGACATTATTAGTTACTTTTTGTTCATTCTTCTTTTTCCTTATTAAACAATTTCTTTCAGATGTTGTTTAAAACAGAATATGAGTTTTGCCTGTTTGCCACAGGATCTGATGTCTCATGGTCAGGCTCAACTTTGTCACAACAAAATATTTAAAATTTATAAAGCAAAGGACAGGTTACAAAGTGACAGTCCTTGGGCCAAAACTGACCCTGACATATACAGCCACTTCACCACAACAGGGCTTTATAAACTTTGGCAAACCCTTAGAAAGTAGCAGACTTCAGACTCTAATTCCAGACTTTAGTTCTAGAGCCAAATACTGGCTCTGTCTTGCAAAATGAAAGGATTTGGCGATACTGTATTTCCTTCTTGTGGGACAATTTGGTTGGAGTTGAGTGGCAGAGCCGCTGTAAACCGGCTGCATCCCTGACTGATGTCACTTGTCTGGATGCCCCAGGCATTTACATTCCTGAAGCTGTCCTGTGAGAAGCCTGAGCCAAAGGATACTATCAGACCTGCTTAAAAGGCTGTCCAGAAGCCATCTTAGTTCTCTCCCATCCTGCTTATTCTCTTCTTTCTGGGGGCTACCATCTCAAATGATATGGGGTTCCACATAGCGTGTAGTATGACACCATGTTCAAATACCTGATCAGGATAATAACTTGATCTTTATTATGAGGTCACACTTAAAATTTACTTGCATATATGTCTTTTGAAATTCTCATTTCACTTACTTTTCAAAGTTGTTGCTTTAACTAAAGCTGAATTAAATCCTTGTTTCCTAAAATATGTTAGTCTTCATTTAAGAGAATTAATAATTTTAAATAAGACACTTATTAGAAGTGAATATTGGGGAGAAATACCTCAACATGCTAGAAATGAATGAAAAATTATTGCCTAAAATACTTACAGAGACTAGTACATTTTGTTTTAGAATTTGGAACATCTGCTCTCTAAGAGTTACAGATTTTTTTTTTTGGTTTTGTTTTGTTTTGTTTTGGTTTTTTGCTTCCTCTCTACCTCTTCCTCTAGGTACATCTCAGGCTTCTGGTCATGCAATCCAACAAAATATAAAAGATGTTGAAAAGGAAGTCAAAGGAGACACCTCAGAGGCTGTGTTTTACCAGACTGTTTTACCATTAGGGAAATCTAAGGAAAATGGAAGTGAACAGATGTCCGATTCTGTGAACGGAAAGCAGAATTCCTCTTTTCTTCCAAAAGCTGAGAAACAGTCTCCATCTGACAGCAAAACACATAGACACAAAGAAAATGATGATCCTCCTTTGGCCATCTCTCATCAACTAAAGAAAGTCTTACCCGTGGTCATATTTAATGACTGTGGAGAATCATTATCAGGAAAAACTACACTACCAGATTTCCCAAGCACAGCAGAAGGTTTTAAACCAGAAAAAGGTAGATTTATTACAGAAGTAAAATGTGGAGCTTTCAAAGTACAAGTAGAAATTAAGAAAAACATTTTCTGTAAAACAGGTACACGGTTCTCAACAAAGAGATGTCCAGCGTGTCACCAGTTGTTTCCTATCAGACACATCTGGAAATGCTGCCCAGCTAAAAGATGTTTTCCTAAACATAGTAATAAATTGGCAGAAGAATTAAAATCTGGAGTTTCATCTAAATACAGAGAAGTTGCCAGAACTGAGAGCCCCTCCCTGAAAGTAAGCATTGTAGGAAAAGAAATTAAAATTAAATTCATGAGTAAGAAACAGAATATCTTAGTTAACATAACTCATCCTAAGAGAAGAGGAAGGATAAACAAATACAGAAACATTTCCTCCAACCACGCCACTGAAGAGCCTTCCAGGTCTCCTTCTCATTCTAGTGCTAAGCACTCTGGAAAGCAGATCTGGGAAAATAAGCACCAAAACGCAGATTGTCTGCATGACTCCCCTCCTAATGTGTTCACTGCCCAGAAGGAGAACTCTGACATAGCTGTGGTTTCTCTCACCTCAACTCTTAAGAAAGACAAACGCAAGCCCGACTCATTGTCTTCAGGCTCAGGTGGTTCTGAAGGAGAATCTACCATCTTGAAGCAAAAGGTCTCTAAAATTAGTCAGCACTCTTCCCAAAAGTTACACTTCTCTGCAGCTGACACTCTTCACATAAATGTTTGTCCTACTTCATGTGACACCCAACAGACGACAAGTTTAAGTAGGACAGATGTAAGCAAAATGTCTTCTGAAGAACCTAAGGATGGGGATACAGGGAGAAAGTCCAAGTTTGATGTCTCTGGAACTATCACAGCAGACTCAAATACACAGCAAAGCACAGAAGGAAATCATTTGCTAAGTTCCACTACTGACATCGTTCCCATTCAAGAAGGCTCAGAGTCTGACTTCGGTCCTTTGTCTTCTCTAAGCACACAGCTCTTAGGAGAAAAGTCAGCCAATGTCAACTGCAAATTCAGCAAAAGTCCACCTACAGAAGACTGTGAGAACTCAGATGTTTCATTCCCTCCCAGCCAAAATGATCTGAAGCCTTCTACCTTGTTTAGTCCATCTCACTGGGCCACCAAAGAGATACTAGAAAACACATTTTCTTTTACCCACTGTGCTGAGCTAGTGACAGGCCATGAGAAAGACCATGGTGATATGACTGACAGAGTCGTTTTATATGGTGACACTTATGAAAACACAGAGCAATTAGTGGAAAGGAAGAGTACACAAAGTCCAACACTCAGAACTGTATCTTGCAGCATCCTAGATGCTGGGAATCTGCTCCATAGCATTAGCCACAGAACTGTAAAAATGGACCAACAGGAGATACAGGCAAATCAACCAGAGATGGCAACCCCCAGCCAAACAAAAGGGCCAGTCATGGCTTCCGTAACAGATGAACTAGAAAGAAAATTAATTACTCAAAATGATAAAGAAGGTACAGTTGATTCTAACTGTCCTCTGGGAACGAGAAACCCTAATGAGTCACCCAATTCTGTGGGAAATGATGAAAAAGGTAAGTGTCAGATAACATCAGTGGTAATAAATGCATTCCACAGAGATTCTGAAGACCTCTCCAGCGAGACTCATGATGAAGTCTGTTTTCAAATAGACCTTCCATTAACTACTGCTGAGTCCAACTCTACCATGTCTGCTACGGATGAGCTGTTTCTTATTGAGAAAATGCTACCCGGGGATGAAGATCAATATGGTAACCACAATGAAAGGAACCTTGGACCAAACAGTTCTTCACAGGAGCCAGCAGAATACCAAAAGATCACAGCAAGAAGACCAAATTCTGAAGAAGGTGAGGACAAATATGACTCAAAGGATAATAACTGTCACCAAATAGATATTTTGCTGTCGCCTGAGAAGTAGAAGCGCTTTGAAAGGGATGGTAGGCTATCCAGAATGTTTGACTTTCAGTATTATCACATGTTTGAGCCTTGGAAAATCTTACGGTAAGGACTTTTTTATTGCCTGGGATTTTTTTTTTATTGTTGAAGATATAGTGAGTATTTTAGAATTAGATGAATATGAGCAAGAATATTTCAGTCTGCTTCTTTACATTATCAACCACTCCACTCATAAATAGTGCATAGCAAAATCACTAAGACTGCAGTTTAATATAAAGTAAAAAAATCAATTTCTCTTTAAAAGGTTGATGTATTGCCAAATCAATTTTATAGGAAATGTTAGACTTTTACCACTCTTAAATAATCCACCATTTTTTCCTTCTTGCAAGCAAAGTGTGTTTCAAAGAATGGGAAGAGTATGTTTGTAATAAAATGTGTTTTTAAACCTTGCTGTGGTGTTGCAGAAACATGCTTTTGCATGTCCCAGGAGGCTGTGTGGAATAGTAATTGTAGCAAAGGACAAAAAACAGAAACAACCATGGCTTATCCTGACTGAGCCGTCTATAGGGCCTTCAACCTCTAGCAGACCTCTAATCCCCCTTGTGCATTGGTTGGCCCTGCTCAAACCATTGATAGAACCCAGAAGCTCTCCAGAGTGAAGAACATTAGGATAGAAACTCTTTTCTAAGTGCAAAATAATACTGTCTGTTTTTCAGTCTTGGATTACCACAGTATCATTCCATTCACTTCATACAAGGCCAACATTTTTCTCAATGAGTCCCAATTACTTTAGATTTAAGGTTAGCATTGTCTCATGCTGTAAATTAAAATACATCTTGAATGAGTAAGAATGCCTGCTCTCGTGCCTGTAACTTTCCCAACATGCTCAGAAATGAAATTTGGAATGATGAAACTTAACAGAAAACTATCTCTTCTTTGGTGTTTCAGCTCTATATCTTTAATGAAAAAATGTATAAGTAAGAGCAAAAATCAATTGCTTAACATTTATTTAAAATTTAAAAGAAATGAAATACAAGCAACCAAATCTATTATATAAATATTGAAATAAAATGGAAAGCGCTGTCTAAAAAGAAATGCCCTAAAATAGTACAAAAACCATAGTCACCTGCTCCGTATGAACACACTAATGTGAAGACCATTCACCAGCGTGAACTCTTCCCAGTGCCTACGTACCATAAACATCAGCATAAGTGACTTTCATCCTAACTTTTGCTACAGTCTATGGTTACTTACCTGGTTCAATGTCTTTCTTAGGATGGCTCTACTACCAGCATTCTATAAGGAAATGTATCTCCTTTCCTAACAGGATGCATTTCCTTATAAAATTGGTAATTCAAACCAGAATCCAACAACAGCTGAGATTACACTTCAGTGAACTTTGAAATTGTCCTGTTTGTTAAACAGTTCCACTCACTTGTTCCCTATGTTTCTCTGGTTCATTAAAAGACTATTCCTACAGCTGTCCCCCGTGCCCCTATAGTCCTCTTCCCCTCCATCTGTATGTTCCGGCCACATTGCTCCATGGATTTCTTATAAACTTTCAGCCAACATCCTGTCTCAGACCTTTTTCATGGGCTCCACTGTCTGGGTCAGTTATTCCCTAAATGTCCACACGTTCATGCCTTTTTAAATTTTGATCGTGTAGCACACTCAGTAGTGCCTTCTCAAGCTAAAAAGAAAAACTGAATCTGAGCTTTCTGTGTTGCAGCCCAGATAAACTATCCATTTTCCATTTTTTCCCTTTTATATATGCTATGATTATTGTTTTTCTTTTCTCGTGTTGTCTCCTGTCATTATGATGTAGGCTTCCTGAGGGCATGAAGTGTTTCTGTTTTTATCATTTTTACATCCACACACTGGCAATCCTGTCCTGTAATGGAGATGCTTAATAAATATTTGTGAATAGCAATGTAGGGAAGGCATGTGAGGTTTGTGTTTTGCCCTATTCATATACCAACACACATGAAAACAGTTCAGGAATTATAATAGTTGTAGAACAGACATTTAAATGCATAGATCTATAAATCCACACAAATCTGACTCTTTAGGAGCTGTGAGTATTTACATGCGTTATTCAGCACTATCGCCATTACGGTACCAATACTTCACGTCTAGATGATGCAAACTTTTAAGAACATAGATTACTCTGAAGAACTCCAACATCTTTGGGCCATTTGACCAGCAATTATAAATCTGATATAGGTGCAAAGTTATGCTTACCTTTTTCAAAGGGTCCTGCTAGTCTTCATAATCTATCCAAGTGTTTTAGATTAAGAATCTCAGACATGACTGCTGAATCTCATAAATACATAGAGCCTTCCATCATGTGCATACATTTTTATTTAACTAGATTAGAAGTCACAATATGGACTGTCTACTGTCCATGAAGTCCAGCAGGCTGCATGTGGGAACATACGTAGTGCTCGTGAGCCAGAGAAAGCCAATAGAAAGGCAGGGGCAGACCGTCTGGCTCAGTCAGGCCTTCTGATTCTTCATGGTAGCTGGATACCTGGATTTTTAAAAATGTATGAATTTCCAGATTATAAAATTTAAAAGACATAGTGTATTCTAAACTAGATGGTAAGAAGAGGTGGGTGTGACGTGTGGCAGGTGGCAAGAGCCAGTGTGGTGTAGTGGATGCCAGTCTGACTCCTGAAAATCTCAATATTGAGTTCTTCCTCTCCCAGTAAAGCCTGTGTGTGGGGTGGGGGTTGCTCAGGGATTGATGCCTTCAGCTACAAATAGACTGAAATATATCTGTAAGATCTATGCCAAAGAGTTAGAAATTGTATATCATAAAAAAAATTTAATGAGGAAACCAAAAGCAGGCCACCCTGAGAAAATGACAGATAATGAGAAGGATTAGGTGATATTTTATATGGCACAGATTTACATATAATAAACTTTCATAGGTAATATGACACAAAATTTCCATGCAGTGTATAAGGTATTTTATTTCCCTAAATCCCTTAAAAAAAAAAAAAAAGCAAGACTAAGAAATATTCCATGGCAGAAAGGGATAGAAATATGGAGAAGTTTGCGCTCACAAGTATTGCACCCAGCACTAGTAATAAAAACATGAGTATAACATTGTCCTTTTTCTTGTAGGGGAATATGACTTTTAGATTATTTCTAATGAGCTGATGTATGGTAAAAGAGAACTTTCTGTTCACTTGTACTTCTTGGTACATGCACAAGATCAGAGCGCAGGGCCCAACTGTGACCGCTTTTTCTCCCGCGAGGTCCTTCCAGATCTGTGTTTTTTTCTAGGTCTTCCCACTCCCTTTTCTACATCCTGTGGCTTTGAATGTGGCAGCCTTCCACTCTCACACTCATGTCCGGTGTCTTGGTCACTCATGCAGCTGTGTAACAAAATATCAATGACCAGCTAATTTTCTGAAGAGAACAAACTTGTTTTTTTTTTTTTACATTTCTGGAGACTGAGAAATTTAAAATTAAGGTTCCTGGTGTGTCTCCTTGCTGCTACCAAGACGGCAGTTTGTGGCTGTGTTCTCCCATGACAGAAGGCAGAGAAATAGAATGAACTTTTCTGGTCCTCTCCAGTACTTTCAAAAGTTGTTAGCCTCCTGCATGAGGTCAAGGCACTCAAGACTAATTTACTTTCTAAAAGCATCTTAAAAGCATTACATTTCACCTTAGGTCACAACTTACGAATTTTGGAAGGACACATATATTAAAAGCATCGCTCTTGTTATTTATTTATATTTTAATTAATTAACACATTGTCTCAATGAAATGACAATGTACATTTTAAGAGTCCTTCAAGAGACTGGAATGCTTGCATTCAGCCCCAGAAAATTCCCTAATTCCACAAACAGCTCAATAAACATCTCCTGAAAGGCTGATATGTATATGAACATTGTTGTGATATAGATTCAGTGAATCACACAAAAACTTTTGTCAAACTGAGGTTTAAGAATAAAGCTAACTCATCAGTAGTAAGTTTGAGTTTAGGAAATTTTCAAGCTTAGATTGAATCACTACTTGGTAGAAATTTTATAGAAGTATTTAAAGCTTACAGAGAGTAGTTAGACCAAAGCATGTCTATATGCTTTGCAAGTTCAAGACATCACAAATTCCAAGCAAAACAATAATGGTGAAGATTTGTACCTGGGTGGGAAGTTCAGCAATTCTCAAATTACAATTAAAGGCATATCATAAGCCTTATATTTAGTTTTAACTTGAGTATATAAGAAAATTCCAGAGTAAATATTTCCCCACTATACCTCATGACCAGGTTTTATGTGACACAATTCCCTGGGCTGATAGGACAGCTTCACTCCATTAGTTTCTAAAGATAATTGTCATTTAATGTGAAATGAGACTGCAAAAGTCCACTCTTACATGTGTGTATACCTTCATGGTCAACCTAGACTCTCTCTCAAAAGATGAGGAAAGTAAAACAGACTTTGGAAAAAATAGCCAGTGGTCAGTGCCATGGCATTTTTGAAGTTTCACTACTCGGTAAAATTTCATAGAGCAAAAGTTACCTTATTCATCACCATAGCACTGATCACTAGCACCGTGGAAATCTGAATGAAGAAAGTGAGCGCTAAATATTATAGGATGGGTGCTGTTTTGCTGCTATCCTTTTATTTCTTAGGAAATAGGAATGAATGAAAGACAGTTACAGAAAACTGGGAAGAGCTGAGTAACAATTCTCCCCTTCACTGCTCCTTTAACACTGACAAGTGACTTCAATTGTTATACAAGTGGTTTATTAATAATTACATATAAAAATGAAGAATGTAATTTATCAAAGATACATCCATTTAAATAGTTCTCGGAATAAATCTTGATATAAATGAATTAGATTTTTACAAAAATCAAATTGTAAAAGTTCATTTGATATTAGAAATAGAATAAAACTAAAGGTCAAGAGTTGATCTCTTTTTAAATCTATTTACTTATAAAATCAAGTAAAGTCTTACCAATTCTGGTCCATCAAACTACATGTTAAGTATTGCACGTTCTCCTATTGAGATTTTCTTTCTATTTTACTTGTTTCAGCCAGTTTTAAGGTTTGTTCACATTGCAGTCATTTATTTCTAATTTTCTTTCTTATAGAAATACACTATACTAGCCCTTATGATGACAGAACAAGCAGTTCAGAACTATGTAGTGTTTCAAGTCATTATTTATTCAAATATTAGCAAAGCTTTCGTGTATTTTTGCAGTTTTCTTTTCATTGTTTTGAATCAACACATGCAACAGAAAATGTGTCATACAGTTTATATACCTACAGTAGATACAGTCATTAGAATTGAAACTATAAGTACTAGAGTTCAATAGAAAACTCACTATCCTGGGTAGTAATTGAATTCATTTAAGTAATAATCTCTTCTTATTTGGAATTCAGCATATATATTTAACAATTTAAGGGTACTCTGTACCTTTCCAGTAACTAATGTAGTAACAGACCTACTACTGATACCCAAGGAATACTATTTTACGAGCCCACTTTGGTAATCCCCACTTTTCTTATATAAATCTATTTTAACTGCACCTTATTCATTTACTCTCTCTCCCTCTTAACAATGTAAATTTAATCTTTCTCTAGATAAATGCAAGTTTCACAAGTAAATCATGAATACATAGAACACAATCTTCTTCTGATCTGTGATTTCTATGTTTGAGTGAATATGCCCTACTCTATCTTCATATACTTAATGTGATTTAATCTAGATCAGAATCTAGAAATCATTAGCCTTCGAAAGCTGTCCCAGGAATTGGCTCTGAGAGGAGGAAGAACCAGCGACAGTTCCCAGGAAGATGCAGTTGACCAATGGGCCAGGAGGAGGCAGCAACTTAAGGACCAGAAGAGGTGCAGCTCGGCCGGAGGGAGCTCCTTCGCCAGCAGCATCACCGAAGGGTCCAGTGAGTAGACCAGCAGCTTTCCCCTAAACTACAACACAGGCAGTAACTTACTGAATCCTCCCCCAACACCGGCTCTGTTGACTGAGAATGGCAATGTGGTAATTGACACTTTTATGTGAAAGATATTTTTGGAATAAGAAACCCATACTTGGTCAGTTACCTTCAAGAAAAGGCAACTGTCTGCCAAGCCTCTTTCTCGGCACTTCATAGCTAACTACAGCATTTTGTATTGGATTAAATTTGTGCTCTACTTCGAATAATTTTAGTTGCATATTATGTATAATCTAAAAAGAATAAGGTAAATATGTTTAATTGTAAATAACAATCCTTTCTCTCATTTTAACATTTTTGAAATGAAGAAGTAACTCCAAGTGTGTATTTTAGTGAAATAGCATTTCTCTTAGTACTGAGTTTTTATCAAACCCACATTATATCTAGTTGATGGCAACTGACAATGAAAGATAGGTTATCACTGAAAACATAAATAATAATAATTTAAAGAAACAGAGAACACTAGTACATTCCATATCCATCTAGATCTAAGATTCCAACAACTAAAGTTGTTAAAAGATACCAACTAATAGGCATTGGCAGCTTGTGTATTATTCACAAAATAAATCAGTTTAGGAAAAACACTTGTTCCAAAATCTGAGTGAGCTTCACCTAAAAAAGAAAAGGAAAGGAAAGAACAGATGATAATGCAAAGAATGTCTTTATGAGAAGACAATATTGAGAGTCGCAGGTTGAATCTTACAAACTGATGGACGGACGGCAGGGGAACATTTAAAAAAATTTTTTTTTTATTTAAAGAAAAAAACAAAACAGAAAAAGGATAGAAATAATACATAATTTCAAAAAAGTAAGAAATCACTAATTAATAATTACATATCATCCTTTTAGAAATAGTTAAGTTACAAATGTGAAGCATACAAAGTGAACATTCAAAACAGCAGACTGCAAACAGTTCTGCTCAACTATCCAACAAAACTTTAGTGATATGATTATCAATCCTATACACTTAAACGTCATGCAATTATACCCTTTAGAGCACTTTCTTTTCCTCTCTTTTTTACAATAGCAATTACACATTTTGGGTTTTATTATTCCTATGTTACTTACTACTTTTTACACTAGAAACACAATGTGATATTTATAAATATGATTCTTGTTTATTTCACTAATGAGGATAGCCTCAAGTTGTCTCTATTTGCCTATGAAAGCATCAATCTCATGTTTTTTATAGCTGAGTAATAATCCATTGTATAAAATACCACATCTTTTTCATCCACTCTGTGGTTGATGGGCATCTTGGTTTTTTCCAAGATTTAACTATTACAAATAGTGCTGCTATGAACATGGGTGCACTGTGATATGATCTCTTCAGTTTTTCTGGGAAAATACCCAGGAGGGGAATAGCTGGGTTGAACGGAACGTCCAATCCTAATCTCCTGAGAAATCCCCACAGTGATTTCCATAGTGGCTGCACCAGCCTACACCTCCACCAACAGTGGAGCAGTGTTCCTTTTTTCCCGCAGCCTCACCAACATTTGTTACCTGTTGATTTCTTCATAACAGCCATTCTTTTAATTTTCATTTCTCGAATGAAAAGTGATGGTGAACATTTCTTCATGTATCTATTTGCCATTTGTATATCTTCATCTGAGAACTGTGTATTCATCTCAGATCCCCATTTTTGGAGAGGGTATTTGAATTTGGGGGCCTTGATGCTTTTCAATTCTTTATATGTTCTGGATACATGCCCTTTCTCTGGGGGTTGCTCGCTATACTTCTGTGGGTTTTCTTTTCACTCGGTTGGTGATTTCTTTTGAAGTGCAGAAACTTTTCAATAATATGAGATCCCAGTTGTTCATTCTTTGAAGTGTTTTCCGTGCAGTTTGCGTTTTGTTCATGAATTCTCTGCCTACCCCTATGTCTCCAAAACTTCTACTTACCTCATCTTCCAGTAGATTTAGTATTACTGGTTTAATATTTAGATCTTTTATCCATTTAGACTTTAGTTTGGTGCATGGTGATAGGCATGGATCTAGTTTCATTCCTCAGCATGTGGAGAGCCAATTTTTCTAACACCATTTATTAAAGAGGCTATCTTTCTTCCAGTGAACATGTTTAGCCCCTTTGTCAAATATCAGAAGGCTGAGGGTTTTGTAATTGTGCTTGCATCTTCTAATCTGTTCCATTGATCCTCAGGTCTCTTTCTTTGCCAGTAGCATGCTGATTTTATCACTGTGGCTTTGTAGTATAGTTTCAAGTCAGGAATTGAGATGCCTCCTGCCTTGCCTTTGTTGCCCAGAATTGCCTTTGCTATTCTAGGTTTCTTCTGTTTCCAAATGAATTTTAGGAGTGTTTTCTCTAGATCTGTGACGTATGTTAATAGTATTTTGATTAGGATTGCATTAAATCTGTATAATAGTTTGGGGAATATGGCCATTCCCACAGTGTTGGTTCTTCCTACCCAAAAGCAAAGAATATCCTTCCATTTTCTAATATTCTCTTCAATCTCCTTTTCAACATAGCATAATTTTCAGCATATAGGTCTTTTACATTCTGAGTTAGCTTGATTCCTAAGTATTTCATTTTTTTTTTTGGATGCTATTGTGAAGGGCGATATTTCCATAATTTCTCTCTTGGTGAGTTTTTGTTTGTGTACAGGAATGCTATTCATTTTGGCACATTGACTTTGTATCCAGCTATACTGCTGAATTTGTTTATTACCTCTAGTAGTCCTTTAATGCAGTTTTTTGGATCTTCTATATAAAGTATCATGTCATCTGCAAATAGTGATAATTTAACTTCTTACTTTCCTGTCTTTATTCCTTTTATTTCTCTTTCTTGTCTGATTGCCCTGGCTAGTGTTTCCAGAACTATATCAAATAGGAGTGGTGATAGTGGACACCCTTGTCTCGTTCCTGATTTTAAAGTGAAAGCTTTCAGTTTTTGTCCATTTAGTATAATGTTGGCTGTTGGTTTGTTATAGATGGCCTTTATGAGATTGAGGTAGACACCGTGTATTCTGAAACAATATGGAAATTTGTGAGCCATCCTTGCACAGGAGCCATGTTAATATTGTCTGTATCATTCCAACTTTAGTATACGTGCTGCGAAGTGAGGACAAGGGAGCAATTCTTGAAGATAGTGTTGTAATTTATCCAGAATGAGAGAGTGGCATAGGTTAGAGTTTGAAAGTAGTTGCAAATGCGTGGGCAAGGATTATAGGTAATTTAAACAATTAAACCCTGCAGTGTATTGTCACCAGTATAACAATACAGTCACATGTTCAACATTCAAGCAGTGAAGAATGCAACTTAAATGCTTTGCTTTGTGCTGATAATTTTCATTCTTGCCCATTGGTCCATGTCTAATCCTTCTAGTTCCTCCTCCCTATTTGGCAGCAAGAACCCAGCATCTGGAATTTTAAATTTTCACATGCACATATATTACCGTAGAGTATCGTTTTATTATCCGCTTATTGTTCATACACCCTTAAAATACCACATTGGAGAATATTCTTCTTATATTAGACTTCCAATAAAATAATCCCACTATTACACATTTTGTTTTATTTTCATTTCTTTCCATTCCTAGTTCGCCTTCCCTTTATCAGTTATGGTATTCATATATTTTAGAATTTAGTATATTTAACAAAATAATTTAATGACATATATTTCATTATTTTTCTTCATCACTGATTTTATACTAATTTCTTTTAATATTGTTTATTTTTCTACTTGCTATACAAATCTTTTGATGAGTTTTGGGAGAGAACTTCTATGGAAAATAAATTCTAGTTTTAAATTACAGGGGATACTGATTCTTTTTGTCCAGTAACCAGAGCTGTAATGAAAAGTTAAGCTCAATCTGCTTTTCACAATTGATGTCATTACTCCAATGTTGTTTCTGGTTACTTGTGCAGTTTGCTTTTTATCTTTGTTTTTCTAACTTTTTTTCTGTGTATCTCAGTGTGTATATTTTAAATATTTCCCTGTGACAATTACATACTTATGAATTATACATTGCTTCAACTCTCATAAATCCTCAGATGTTATGTTTTCAAATATTTTATTTCCTTTTTGTATCCTGTTGACATTCCTTTCAGATAAGCATTTAAGCTTTTGGGGTGTGTGCTCCACGTGCCTCCACTTTTCATTTGTATTTTCCACCTTCTTAGTTCTTTTTGCTGTGTACTGAGAGTCCCTTCGTTTTATTACTCAGCTCACAATTTATTTACCTTTCATCTAAATCCTTCTTGTTCTTTAGTCTCTTTTAACCTTTTCTTTAGTTTCAACAACTTCATTTTTAAACTTAAAACAGCTAAGTGATTCTTTTAAAATAAAATCATTCTCATTTTGATTATATATTATATATTACATATAATGTTATATAAAGTTTTTACCTAATTGCTCTATCAAATACTTTTTAAAAACATATTTCATATTTTCTGAGTTAGTCTTCTTTGTTTTATGATGTAGGTTTCTCCAAATACTTTGTGAATTTTTGGTAGGGTACTGTGTTAGCTTTCTGCCACTGTGACACGGAACCTGAGAATAATCAAATTTGAAGGAAAAAAGATCTATTTTGACTCATGGTTTCAGGATTTTTACCTCATGGGTGCTTGGTCTCCATCACTTTGGACCTGTGGCAAGGCAAAACACCATGGTGGAGAGCATGTGGTAAACAAAGCCACACATCTCACCATGGGGGCAGGCAAGCAAGGACAGACAGGAAGGAGACGGAATTCCAACGGACATTTCAAGGGCATGCCCCTAAGTGACCCAACTTCCTCCAACTAGCCCCCACCTCCTAAAAGTTCTGTTGCATCCAATAATGCCACCAACTGAGGACCAAGCATTCCACACAAGCCTATGGAGGATACGCAAGATCCAAACCATAACAGCTACTCACTCTCTGACTTAGTCTGCATTCACCTGATGGTTGCCTACAACCGAACTATCCACATGGTCAGGAAGCACGCTCTAACTTCT